AACATTTTTTTCATTGCCACCTGAAATTGTATTGGGTGCCTTTAAAGGCGGGATATCAGAGATTTTCTGTAATGTTCTCTAGGATGTAGAAGTGATTCCTGTAATGAATGAGCTGTCTTTGCCTGGCGTTCCCTGGATGATGTTTTAAGAGGACGGCTTACGTCAAGCTCCCGAGCCTCCTTCCACGAAACATTTGTCCAAATCCCTGTGAGGTTGTTAATATCAGGTAGGCGGTTTCACGCCAACTTTCCTTCGTCCCCTGCTGAGTTTGTGGTATACTTCAGGCTCAGACTAATCAAGCATTTCACGTTCAGACTTTAAATTTGATGAAGTTGATAAACTGGCAAACATCAGCATCTACATGTAGGTGTATATCTATAAGGAGTAAGGCCAAAAGGACAAACATAACATCAAACAGCAACATTAATCAATTTTGCTTAGAGCTATCAATAAAAAAAGTAAGATGACAAGATGATAAGTACATGTTTGTATGTATGATAAGGCCACACCAATTTAATTTGTTGGTTCTCGGATTCGCCTCTTCATTTTTTTCTGATTTGCAAAAAAAAAAAAATGATTCTGGTTCTGAATCAACTGAAAAATGCTCATGTTTTGCCCCCAACAGTTGAGGATAGTCCTTTTCTTCCTAGTTGTTACAGTTTTCCCATCTATCATTGCAGTGGTTTGATTAAAAGTTCAAAATTCAATGTTTAAATTTTAACCCAGCCTTTTGTGTTGACTTCATGGCTCATTTCGTAGCATTTAAGCCTATAATAGGATGCCTAGACCTGTTTTTATTACCTCCGGGGAAGGAGATATCCTTCCGCGAGGAGGTTTTACTATTGTTCGAAACATTTCTGTCAGCAGCTGTTTCTCGCGATCGGCTGGACGGATTGGTCTGTTGTTCGGTATGCGTATTGCTGTTGGGCTGCAGATGATGCAGAACGTTTTTGTTTAATTATATATGTGTTTATGGGCGTGGAAATAAAAGGTTTTTAAGTGCTCCGGACACCCCCGCCATGCTGAAAATGTAATTTACCATGTTGTTAAGGAATGGGGAGGTTGCAGTTTTGGGTCTTACCATTTAAAAGGGGTCAAACAGAGGGGTGTCTGCTTCCGATATGTATTTTGAAATATTATCGCAGTTGTATCTCGCGTTGGGGTAGACTGGACTCGGTGTATGTTCTTCTAATGGGCTGTAGATGGTGCAGGTTTTTTTTGTTTTTATTGTATATGTGTTTTGGGGCGTAAAAATCTGAAAATCGTCGCGCGCGGCGCTGGGCTGGCTGCCAGCGCAACTTCCGGGTGGGCCAATGGGTCAGGGGTCAACGCCCTCTTGCGCAATCTTGGATGTTTTCGGCGTATAGTACGACTTCTTAACTTACAAATACCGTGGTATACTGTCTCAGACGTTCTCGACATGCATTTTTACCGTGGGTACATGGTATGGGCTGCAGATGAAAATGTTGACCAGTCCAGGAACGCTAAATCTAACACATAAAATTCAACACAATCAACTATACAGAACAAACAACATGGAAAAATATACAATAAAAAGCCCGGAGGTATAAAATCTCAGATTTTACTTGTTTTTATTTTTTTTCGCCCTGTCGCTTCATATTTTTTCTGAAAAAATCCGAGAACCAACAAATTAAATTGGTGTGGCCTAAATGGAAATAGTAGAACTATTTCATTGATTAATTGCACCAGTTGTATAAAAAGTAAAGTATGGTTTGGAAGTTATTTTCATAATAGCAAATATCAATAACTTGCAAATTCACATTTGAAAAAGATTCATTGTTAATCATATGTGGGAGGAAACAGGAAAGAATATTTCACAGTCTTAGTGAGTATTATATCTCCCATGATTTGTCACAAACATGCAGTGTTATGAAGATTACATTCACGATTGCCTACCTGCACTTCTCTTGCAATCCACTAGAGGGCACTGTTGCAAATTGATTGGACCAGAAGCTTATGACAGACCAACAGGATTTGCTCCCTCCAGTAACAGCCATAAATCATGGGATATTGCATTATAACATCGCTGATATGCCTTATCCCCGGCTTCCACGTATTCAATAATCTTAGACAGGCCGGTGTTCACTTTCTTGAGAAAATGAAGACGTGCCGCTAAGAAGACGTACATGTAAAAGCATACTTGACTGGAGGCACTTGAGATGCTGAAGCCCCCATTGTTTATACAGGAGCCAGACAGAGACTAGGAGTGTAGTACAAGCCAGTTGCTGCCGAGATGGCTGCCGTGATAATTGTCCATTAGGCGGTTGAAAGAACAGTCAGCCTGCTCCCAGCTAGAGGGAATTTATCCCCCATTTTCACTGTAATTGCCCAACCAGCTTCATGCATGTTTTACCTACTTATGTGCAGGGCTGGAAATACCACCTACAGGTTAGTGCAGGTATAATTGGAGCTGTGCAGGTATTTCTGATGTCTACCTGCATCTAACCTGCACTGGTCCATGTACTGGGTATATGCAGGTTAGTGCAGGTAGAATTGGGGCTGTGCAGGTATTTCTGATGTCTACCTGCTCCTAACCTGTACTGGCCCATGTACTGGGTTTATATATACATGTAGGTGTACGGTATATGGATTTTTATTTGCTACATTGACTGTTACCACCTATGATGGATAAAAAAAAGAAATAGTACCAATGGTTTCTTAACAGTTTTAGTATGAACCAACACATTGAATAAGTGTGGCCTAACGATGGGTCACAAGATACTGAACCAACCATTCTGCATCTCTAAATCCTTGTCTGACTGGGGTCTTCCCTACTAATTCTCCTAAGAATAACTTCCTGCCCCAATTATATGGATGATATCAACCTACTGACAACTAGTAACCCATTGTGGGGACAGTTCATTTGTTATCGCAGGTGATGGTACAATTAGGTTACTGTACATAACTTTGTATTCGCGGTAGCAAAATGGACATGTTTGCGGATCTATATGTTCACAGTGGTGGCAGGTGCAAAAGAAAGAAAGTAGGTGACAAATGGTAACTTCATGGCAAATGGATACTACCTGGCCAACTTTATACTGTCTTGGCAGCCATCAAAAGACCTTCCTTGAGATTACAATTTCTGAGCTGTAAACAATTTGGTTACAGTGTCAGTAAATGACAAAATTTACATTCAATTAAACGTCAGGACGGGAAAGGACCTACCCTGCCCCTTTCTTGGAGATGATATCTGGATTGTCCCTGGGCTCCCAGCATGCCATGGGAGAGAAGGGACCACCCAGGAAAAAGTGGTTGTTAATCTTCCAGCCTTCATTTAGGCTAACAGGCTGGGAGGAGCTAACTTGTCTCTGAGGGGTAGTAGCACTGGTGTAACCTGTCTATTGTGGGTCACTCAATGGACTAGTCAAGTGTCTTGTCTCTTGGCTTGTCTTTCATGTCTCTTGCCTTGTCTTTGGGACAGTTGAGTGGATGTACAAATGTAGGGAAATGTACAGCGACCTTCTCTTGTGTGCTGTTCCTCCAAGTAGAGGGCCTTGGTAAGATTATTTGCTTGTCTTCTACATTAGCCTCTACTCTTCAGGCTAAGGACATCAAGGACATCACATTTCTTTGCCAGCACTGATCCATTTTGTAGGGTGGCTGTTCTACCATTTTCTTAAAATTGGTTATTGTTTCATCTGGCTTTTGTTTGTGATGGAATTTCTATTGACAAATAATATACAAGTCATTTTGAAAGAGAAAAGTCAATGTATAAATACACGTTTTTATCTTGGTTTTCCTGTCAAAGGGTGCCAGACAAATTTAGAATTAGCTATAGCCTTAGTATATTAGTACTAGACATTATTTGAAGAAAAAGTAAAACAGAATCAGATTGAGTTTAACTGTCACAAGTGTGAATTAGTTTGTTTTTTATCAGGTATTGGACATTTTAATATTTGTATAGCAGCTTTTGATGTCATAAATTATTAATGATTATTTATAATCTGAATCAGCTGGCAGCATGTTGGCATGTGTAATGTACTCTAACATGGCACAAATGAAGTTATAGGAAAAGCCCTGAACTTGTATAATCTTTACCTCATAAGAGTTTGGTCTCACCTGTCCATATGATAGAAGGGTGTGATGACTGTGAAGAAAAGAGATTGTTTTCATCCAAACTGAGATCCTTACAATAATATTTACTGATGCCAGAACCCTGGCATGAAATTTCACATTAGTTTTGGTTTGAAATTTTATACAGTTGTCAATAATGGCAACCAAGACAAAATAGAATCTGTTTTTAATCAAGTCTGATTCCTTTCATTTTGATTGTTTTTAATATCGATTCATTTTCGTTTTCCTTGCTTTAGAAGTGTTCATTTGTTGTTTTGATTCAAAGGTTCCTTCTTTGATCGTTGTCATCACAGTAAATATCACATCATATTCTTTTATAAAGGTTCTATTTTAGCACACTTTTGCCTTTGATGTTATGGCATAAAGCCTGCCCTTTTGAATGTTAGGCCAGGTTTTATGCATGGGGATCAGAGGGAGACAGTTAGCTTGTTGTGCCTGTCTTTAGAAGCCATGTAACTGCAAAGCTCCCCCTTTGACATGATGATTGATGGCGAATTGTACCTTTGTCAGTCATGTCCCCCTAGGTAAGCCTCTTTTGTCAGTCATGCCCCCATAGGTGAGTGATTGTTTATAGGTGCCCCTGTTCCCAGTGATAGCCCAGGGACAATGTATAACTCACAAGGCACTTGACATCCATAATGACTCGGGTACACATTCTGACATATCCAAGCAGGCATTCGCTGTTGTACCTAGTTAGCTATTACATTATTCATTCCGACTCTTCAACCTGAAGTGTTTATCCATGCATATTTTATGCTCTACATGAATGTAGTTTTTTTTTCTTACAGGCGATGGGTAAGACTGTGACATATTGTTAGGAATTTGCAATACATGCCATATGCTATGTTCTTTGATATTTTAAAGAAATAATGTATTTGCTGAAGTAATCTTAATCATTTCAGAAGTGTTCAGCAACACATATTTTATCATTCATGTTCATTGTCAAAGTACTTAATTTTTTTTCTAAATACATTGTTGTGTTAACAGCCAAAAATTGTTCTAGATTAAGAAATGTGAACTAGTGATTTTATATTATAATATATTATGATATTATAATCTCTGTTTCATATTTGTTTTGAGTTTACTTGTATACATTTTGGCAAACCGATGTTACTTTCTCGTTCCAGGTTTGAGAAATACGGCCTGGTCATGAGCGACAGTGAAGACGACGATGATCAGGTGACTTGCGTCCTCCAATCGCTGTCCCCTACTCACCAGACACACATGTCGTGTCTCCCTCATCACAGCCAAGTGCCTTCCCCTTACTACCCCAGTAACCCGAAACCTCCGCTCTTTGTTATGCTTGGCTGAGCCTCTGCCATTAACTCCACTTCTATAATTAACAAATCAGAGGGGCTGTATTTGCATGGGCCGGTAACCTGAGCCCTCAATAAACCTTTGTTATGCAAGGGGCAGCCGACTTGGCTCTTGTGGGTCTTGCTTGCTTCAGGGCCACCAGATGTAACGTTACACAGTTTGTGGGGGCTAAACAGGGGGCAGGTTTTCTCAGTTTGGTGGAAAGTACTAGCAGGTCAGGTCTCGATTCCCGGCGGGACTAGAGACCCAGGCTGTCTCACCCTGCCACAATCGGTGTCACTCAGCCGAACGTAAATCTCCCCCCTCCTTGGTACTTACACCTCCGCTCTGCCCTGCCTTGCAGGCTCGCCAGACCAAGACGGCCGGAAGAAATGCGCAGAAAATGAGGTAAGGGTTGACAACTTTCTTCTTCTTTTCTCTTATTTTTGTCCTGGGGTTCTTGTTTGACCCTGGTTGACAGTAAAAGCTTGTTGGAGTTGATTAATGTTTAGGTCCCTTGGTAGCAGGGGTATGAAAATCATCCCAGTGTTGTTGCCTGCCTGGCTGACCAAATATTTGTACTGATTCTCCTACAGTTCCTGCAGGATTGATTGTCTAAACAAGTTGCATGTGTGTTTGTTTCGGCCTGATTAACAGGTCTCCACTGGCGCACATTGTGTACGGGTAATTGTTTCTCAATCACAGTTCCATTCCCCTGCTCCAAGGGTCTTGGCATTGTCACTAAGTTCATGTAATGGGCAAGATGGTGGTTGAAATAACAATGTTACAAATGCCCCCATGGCTTTGAATGGAGAATAATGGTGATAAAATCAGGGGAGCTGATAGGGCCACACTAATCTAATTTGACGGTTCTCGGATTGCAAATAATGCATACTGAATAGGAAACCCAAATTATATGTATCAGGAGGGGGAAGAGTCTATATTTACAATTACAGTAGAAAGTCACTCAAGTTTTCCTTTTATCCTTTTGTTTTCATGTGTGCCTCTTGCTAGAAGTTTTACTTCGAAATTTCTGAGAACCATAGAAATGTATTTGTGTGGCCTGTAGCCAGTGGGTTGTCCCGGTGAATATTTACATGTAACAAGCATGGCTGACTGTGCCCTCTGGCCAGTGGAAGTCTCAGTCTGCCCCTCCGCTCCAGATGTTTCAGTTTGACCCTGTCATTGTGAATCGTTTGGGGCGCATTCACCAAGGTAATTTTCCGACCTCCTTTTCATACACAAAGCGCAAATTAGCAAGGTGTGTTCCAGAGTTAGCTTGTTTGTGTCCTGAAAAGTTCATTCACTTCGCTGCTTTCAGTGGAGTGATCTTTTATCCTGACCTCATTTCGGTCTCCCTGGCACAAATTAGCGATGTGTATTTCACTTGAGAGCTTGTTGTAAACAAAGCAAGCCTTGTTGGGAAGAACAACAGTTCTACATGTACACCCTAGATGAAACAGAAAGATCCCTGTGTATGTTTGATAATATTATAATCTGCAGGATTTCTTTTCAATGTTGAAAACTGTTATGCATTCTCTCAAACGTGTGTATGTATCCTTGGTTTGTTATATAAAATGTGACATGCCCAAAATTGAAGACAGGTATTTCGGCAATTCCTTGTGTTGGTGCATGTAGATATATATACGTAGCTGTTAGTGTTACCTTGTACATGTCCTTGTTTTGATGCAATGTTGATATGTTAACATTTGTACAACCCCCACTCATATTATCAGAAATGGTGAAAGGGCTATTACTGTATGTAGTGTCTATGCACATGCTTACAGTGACACTCTGCAAGACTACATGGAAAAGTTGTTATTGTTGACACAGCAGCACAACCACTGCTGCCTTTGTGCTTCTAACATTCCATGTCCTGTCAAATCCCCTGTGCTAGAATTTCCCTCCTGATAGATTATATCTTTCAGGTTATTTTGTGATGCTGCTTTTGTAACATAATTTCATGTACTATAAGATCCTATCTTTTGTTAGATTTGGGTTTGAAGTAAAGTTGTCCACAAGTAGGCACTCTCTAAATTCTGGCTCCGTGTTTGTTTACGTTTGTGTCTGCGTGGGGAGGGGGGCTTGTGGTTGGGGAAGTGATAGTGCGTAGGGTTTTGTGGCCACACAAAAGGCCCCCAACAGGTAGGAGGTTTTTGTGTCCTTCTGTTACAGACTCTTGTTGTGGTCTGTGAAGTGTGAAAACCAAGAAGTGGCTCTCAAGTAGTCCAAGAAGTCAGTACCTGAGTCACTTATTAGTGATGTCGTCTCAGAATTGAGGATGTGTATTCTAAGTAATTACTAGTATCTCTAAAAGCAGAGGTTTAGACTTCAGCCAAGGACACAGTCTGTATAATGTACCTGCTTAGGCTTTATTTTTGATGCCAGCCAATATAACCCTAGAACTTCGTAGAAGTGTTGTCTTGCTAGTTTGATTCGGTGTTGGAGACAAAAGATCTGTTGGGGATGATTTAAAGTGTTCCTCCAAGTCAGAAAATGTTGTTGCACGACTACCCCATTGTTCTGGAATTTAAAAAATGCCTGATATTTGATGATTTGTCTAGTGCCCAATAGTTGATGGACGGAAAAATGGCAGGTAGCATCCATCTATTGAATCAACAGTCAAAGAAACAAATGAAACTAGAAAGGCCAATATTTGCTTTGGAGCAAATACAGCGATGGGTTCACCACATTTTACCACATGGCATGGAAAGAATGAGAAACACAAGGGAAAACAATGATTTAGTTTTAATTACATTGATATAACTATAATATGAAGTAACATACAACTAAAACAACAGTTGGATAGCTATTCCCTACTTTATTGGTTAGGATTTTTAATTGCATAATGCAAACTGTTTATTTTCAAAATAAAATAAAAAACGTTCATGCCCCGCATTCCAATGCTGGAGCAGAAAAGCTTGAAATACCTACCAAAACACTTGAATAAAGACATACTGTCAGTATGGAAATGCTCTGTGCAGGTGTTAATCAAGTTAAATCCCAACAGCCAATCAGCAAGAAATGCTCTGTGCAGGTGGAAATGCTCTGTGCGGGTGTTAATCAAGTTAAATCCCAACAGCCAATCAGCAAGAAGTATAGAGGAAAGCTGCATGCCTATTGGTTGATGCCCTGCATTCCATTGTGATGACTCATGGTAAACACGGCACACTAACACAGTAATACATTTGCTATAACACAGCCAAAAAACTCAAATAAAACCATTCTAAAAGCCTGTATCACAAAAATTTAAAAACGCCTAGGGGTATTTGCCCACTGTACCTCCATACCAAATTTCAGGACCTTAGGCCCTAAAATGAAGAAGCTGAATCCATTTAAAGATATGGCAGGAGGAGGAGAAGGAGGAGGAGAAGGAGGAGGAGAAGAAACATCAGAAAAAGCAATATGGGTTCACCACCACTTCGTGGTGTGGTGAACCCATAAAAAGAAAATCAAAATTCTGAGATTATGGGACCAATGATGATGATCTTCTGCTTTGGCATTGTGAAGAACGTTTAAACTTTAATTTTCAACACAAGAAATTGGAATTATACCCAAATTTACCAACTTCATTCCTTGACAAAGACTGGAGTGGTACAGTCAAAAATGTCTTACCGTACGGTATTTCTTGTGTCGGAAATTTCAGCTTCAAAATGACTTCTACTTAGTTGTTACTTGATTAGAAGCACGGATGGAAACATTTAGGAAGCTGGTGTTTGTGTGTCCAGTGATGTGTATTGGAGTGAATCATGCTGATGTCACTGGCCTGAGGCTACCTGTCTTGTCATGCTGCTGACCTGTCAGGCCTACTGCTGATGGTCACAGGTCGATGACCTGACACGTTTCCCTCTAGGCTTTCTGTCCTGATGGGGTTTTTAGCTTGATAAGATATAACTGAGGTATGTTTAGGCTCAGATTTTCAGTTTACTTCATTTTTACTTCGTGATTTCTGAAAACCAAGGAATATTTTTTACCTGGATGTCTAACCTTCGTCAATGTGGTGTTTGAGAAAAAGAAGCCCTACAGGTGTGTTTGTGACACCTGTCAGATATCTGACAACTTGATGAAAGACATAAGGAACACAAGGAAATTGTAACTAAAGCAAGATTTTGAAAACTGTCAGACCATCCACTACTTGAAGTCTGTGACTGTGGATGCTACTTGAAATGTCTGGCAGTTTTCAAAATCCTGTTGTAATGATAATGAATTTCCTTGTGTATCTCATTACCTGAATGTCTAACCTTCATCAACATGGACAAAAACTTTTAGAAACCTTATCCAGTTGTGTCATATATTTTGTAGCCTCCTGTGCAGGCCCCGCGGCGGTGGGGAAGAGTTTTTAACGCATTATTTTAATATAGCCGGCCATCCTACATAGCCGCCGAGAGAAGGTTCCTTTCCGCCCACGGGGCCTGCTTCCATTCGGCAAGAAAAAAGGGAAAGGGGATTAGAAAAGTCTTTCAAAAGGCTCATTAACATGCCCGCGACGAGCAATTCACATGCCCGCGACGAGTAATTCACACCCGTCCGCAAATTATCCGCGGCCGCGAGAGCGCGTATGGCAGGCCAGTCAAACAACAAAAAATCCAAAACTTATAATAAACAGCGTGTATACTTAGTCAACTTGTTGAACTTTATCAGAAATATCGAGTAGTACACGTGCACTTCGGATCTTCAGCGCACGAAAGTAGATCGTAAGAGGGGGAGGGGGGCATATGAGATCGCAAAAATTGCCGGTAGTATCGCAAATGTGACCCTCTCTCAATTGGGAAGATCCCCGGATGTCTTTGGCCGCTAGCTCGCCTCTTTCCCTCGCGTTCATAGCGATCGACAAGCCACACACAACACGGTAAGATTTTGTTTACTTTTTTGAAACACACAGTGAACCCGTTGACCGTTAGAAAGTTGTACAGCCATGCCCACGGGGGCGTGACAAACCTGCGCCTCGGCCATTGTCGGCTGGCGGAGCGCGCTCCGGGGTGCGGAAACTTCGCAAGTCCATACCAATTTGTCTAAAGTGATTTTTAATTTCCCTTTTTTCTTGCCGAATGGAAGCAGGCCCCGTGGGCGGAAAGGAACCTTCTCTCGGCGGCTATGTAGGATGGCCGGCTATATTAAAATAATGCGTTAAAAACTCTTCCCCACCGCCGCGGGGCCTGCACAGGAGGCTATATATTTTGTACTTTCAACAGTAGTCTATCAGAACTTGCCTAGCACCTGCAGTGCCTATGTATCAGTGTCAAGGCTAGTGCCAGTTCACACCTGAACAGACAACACTGGGAGGTGTGAAGTTGTGAAGGTGCCAGATCTGACAACAGGATTAACACCCTGCCATGCTGTAAAGGAGATTATAGGTCAAGGTAGATTCCTCTTATATACTGTTAGTGTTACAAACTAATCTCCGTCCA